TAGTAGAAACAATAAGCTACTAGTAACAAGTGCATCGCTTCTAGTAATAAGTGCCTTACTAGTAGTAACAAGAAGCTAGTAGAAACAATAAGCTACTAGTAACAAGCGCATCGCTTCTAGTAACAAGCGCCTTACTAGTAGTAACAAGAAGCTAGTAGAAACAATAAGCTACTAGTAACAAGTGCTTCTCTTCTAGTAACAAGTGCCTTACTAGTAGTAACAAGAAGCTAGTAGAAACAATGAGCTTCTAGTAAAAAGTGCATCGCTTCTAGTAACAAGTGCCTTACTAGTAGTAACAAGAAGCTAGTAGAAACAAAAGGCAACTAGTAACAAGTGCATCGCTTCTAGTAACAAGTGCCTTACTAGTAGTAACAAGAAGCTAGTAGAAACAATAAGCTACTAGTAACAAGTGCATCGCTTCTAGTAACAAGTGCCTTACTAGTAGTAACAAGAAGCTAGTAGAAACAATAAGCTACTAGTAACAAGTGCATCGCTTCTAGTAACAAGTGCCTTACTAGTAGTAACAAGAAGCTAGTAGAAACAATAAGCTACTAGTAACAAGTGCATCGCTTCTAGTAACAAGTGCCTTGCTAGTAGTAACAAGAAGCTAGTAGAAACAATAAGCTACTAGTAACATGTGCATCGCTTCTAGCAACAAGTGCCTTACTAGTAGTAACAAGAAGCTAGTAGAAACAATAAGCTATATACTAGTAACAAGTGCATCGCTTCTAGTAACAAGTGCCTTACTAGTAGTAACAAGAAGCTAGTAGAAACAAGTGCCTTACTACTAGTAACAAGTGAATCGCTTCTAGTAACAAGTGCCTTACTAGTGGTAACAAGAAGCTAGTAGAAACAATAAGCTACTAGTAACAGGTGCATCCCTTCTAGTAACAAGTGCCTTACTAGTAGTAACAAAAAGCTAGTAGAAACAAGTGCCTTACTACTAGTAACAAGTGCATCGCTTCTAGTTACAAGTGCCTTACTAGTAGTAACAAGAAGCTAGTAGAAACAATAAGCTACTAGTGACAAGTGCATCGCTTCTAGTAACAACTGCCTTACTAGTAGTAACAAGAAGCTAGTAGAAACAATAAGCTACTAGTAAGAAGTGCATCGCTTCTAGTAACAAATGCCTTACTAGTAGTAACAAGAAGCTAGTAGAAACAATAAGCTACTAGTAACAAGTGCATCGCTTCTAGTAACAAGTGCCTTACTAGTAGTAACAATAAGCTAGTAGAAACAATAAGTTACTAGTAACAAGTGCATCGCTTCTAGTAACAAGTGCCTTACTAGTAGTAACAAGAAGCTTGTAGAAACAATAAGCTACTAGTAACAAGTGTATTTGTGTATTAAGAAGATCCGCATCTCGGCGCCTGCCAGTAGCCAAGCTCCGGTGATGCCACCTTCGCCCACGTCAAAGCAGAGGTGATCTTGTCCTTTGCCGGCGACTGGGGTGGCATTGCACCTTTTGCAAAGAAATGTGAACCAGAAAGAATTAATTTGGGTGTTCCGGCTGGGTGGTCATTGACCACCAGGTTCAGTTCCAAACAACTAACCACTGTTCATGCATCATCCAAGTACATGTCCACCGGGCTGGACTTGCTGGAGATTCGGCTCGTACTTCTGTCGCGTTCGATCTAAAACTGCCATTCTGGGGCTAAAACCGATGAGATCCCTCCAAAGGAAATCTCGCTGATCTCATCGTCGCTGTCCGCCAAAAATACGCCTTAGCGGTGTCAATTCCGGCCGCCAAGACCGCCACCAACGCCCAAGACGGGTGAAATCAGTGCCAAACCAAAGCTGGATTCTTCTAGTGCAACCTCTCAATCCGGTGCAAGACTGAACCGTTGCAGACTACAGAATCTCTTTGGATCAAACTTCACACTTCCAACTAGCCTGCCTGCTTTGCCATCATGCCAAAGAAGCTGAACCTGGGATGAAGCGGGTTCATGGAACTGCAGCGCGCCCAAGACAAGTGGAAGCCCCTACCGGATTGAAAATATCGCTTGGAAGTATAAAAGGAAGGGTGCAGAAAATTGTTTAAAAATGCACAAAAGCGGCTATGTTGGACGTTTGGGGGAAACAGCGTCCGAACATGGGTCCATATAAGAAGCAATGGCAGGAAAGATCTTCGGAAGATGGGCTCATCTCGGGGCCAGTTCAAAGAATTTTTTTAATTGTGTCAGCACCCTCGCTAGTAGGTTGGGGGCCACCGCTGTTGTTTTATTCAACTAACTAATGAAATATTAAATGGTGTCTTGGTCGAATTGTTTACTAACTTGGGCGCCACGTGGCCCAGAGTTGAGCCGAAGTTGGCAACTTGTGCCAAGTTAGCCCCCCCAGCATGAGCCCATGTTCCGAAGATGCCTTGAATCGTCCAACCTAGCCACTTTTCCGACGCTTTATCTCAACTTCCAAGACGGCCTGTGACAGAATAGCACCCCCCATGGGCCGATGTTACGACACGGGAGCCCCGATTAGATCCAATGCCCCTAGTGTTCCTAGTAGTAAGGCCAGGAGCCCCTAGTAGCGTCTTTGCTCATAGTAGCGATGCCAGGAGCCCCTAGTAGCTTCTTGTTCCTAGTAGTAAGGCCAGGAGCCCCTAGTAGCGTCTTTGCTCATAGTAGCGATGCCAGGAGTAGCTTCTTGTTCCTAGTAGTAAGGCCAGGAGCCCTAGTAGCGTCCTTGCTCCTAGTGCTGAAATCAGGCCAAGATCACTCTGGAGCTAGCGCCAAGTTGTCCAGCCTTGGTAGACAGATTGGCCAGATCGGTCAATGTCAAGCGGTTGCATGAGCGAGCACCGCAGCAGTTTTTTTCGCTTGAGAACGGTGTAAAGGAGCTCTTGCAAGCTTCTGGGTAAAACTCTATCCAGCAAAAGCTGGAGATGTGTGAGCTGAGCTTCGCATGCGAGTGTGGCGGCGTTGTAGCCTCTGCAGACACGAAATCGAATTCAGAACATCGTTTGGGCGACCATCGTTTGAGCAGAATCTCTTTTCTAATAGCTTCTTGTTACTACTAGTAAGGCACTTGTTACTAGAAGCGATGCACTTGTTCCTAGTAGCTGATTCAAGAACGTCCATGAGATGTGGTGCTCCAAAGTTCTCCAAGCGACTGATGAGGTCTGCGACAATGGCAGCCTTACAACGCAAATGGAAGACAAAGCAACGAACCCAGTTCGTCTGTTTGAAACTGAAAGGACCGGTGCCTGGACCATAGTCTGTAGAATTTGTAAGGAAAGTGGCCAGCGCTTCCCAGAGGACCTCAAGACCTCAAAGCTTGCTCCATGCACGTATAATTACAGTCTATTAGATAAGTAGATGCTTGATGCCTTCATGCAAGCGAGTGTTCGTGGTGATCATGTGTGATCGTGTGTGATCACGTGTGTTCATCTGTTTGCCCACACTCGATTCACAGGTGTGGTACTTTGAGATGTCACAGTTGTAATCTGTTGAGATGTCGTGTGGAACTTTGAGATGTTGGAACTTGGTATTTTGAGATCTAACACCTTGCGGTTTTTGCAGCTTCAATCGTTGAGTCCGTCGAAATTTGGACACGTGTTGAGTTTGAACCAGTTGCTTGGTAGCGTTTGTCGCAATTGCGTGACCTCTTTCAAAGGCATGTGTGTCCACCTGCCTGCACCAGTTTCGCTCAACCAGCATCGACTCAGGCGGCAACAGAGTTGTAGGTGATCAAGTCCGGCTGAAGAGGCTGAAGCAATTCCAAAGTTTGCACTGCCAGCTCCCATCGCCTTGCTTTCCTCATTTGCACGTGGCGCAGCAAAAATCTCAAGGGGCAAATTGCCAAGTGTCTCATAGGAGGTGGCAGCGCTGTTGAACGTGGTGAGGTTTGGTACCTGAACGTTAAAACAAACGGAGGTTATATATGGCTACTACAGTAGCTTCTTGCTCCTAGTAGCAATGCCCTTGTTGCTGTAATGGCCTCCAACCTAATAGCAAGCCCCTAGTAGCGTCCTTGCTCCTGAACTGAGATTTTCTGCGCACCGCTCCATCGGGTCCATCTTTCAGGTGCAGAAGACCAGCTGCATATTGCCATTGACTCGCTGCTTCGCAGGTGCTGATCGTTGCGCTAAGACCTGAGTAGAAAGTCCGGTCGCTTGAAAACCAAAACCAAACCTGCCTTTTAGCAATTAGGTAAGTAAGGAAGGAACAGTAAGCTGCTAGTAATGGCTTCCAACCTAATAGCAATGGCCTCCAACCAAACCTGCCTGTGTTTCTTATTGTTGTCTTGCCCGTGGCCCTGCCTCCTTACTTAATTAAGTAGGCGCCTACTTAATTGAATAAGGGAGTAGTTCGCTACTAGCTTCGCTACTGACTAGTTGGCTTCTAGTAGCTGGACCTAGGATATATTACGCTTCTCCGAGGAAGCTCCCCCCGCCTGAGGGTGGGGGAGAGCTTCCTTGAAGAAGCGCTCGCACTATTCATCGTTGATAAATAGGTACTACTGAAATGTCTTTCCAGGTTTGCTCGTCAAGCGTCTGATCACGTCTGAACTCAGCCGAGCCGTAGCAATGAGGTCTAAAAGTGCTCCGCCCAACTGCCAGTTTGCCCCCGTCTCACATGCACTGATCACCGAGTTGAAGCCTTGGAGCACACCAAAACCAAAAAAACATTGGAAAGTGTCTATTTGCTCATGCCAGCTTGAATCAACGCAGTGCAGCTTCTTTCTACCCATTATATAGCTCTCTTCAATAAAGGTGCGCACCAGATCATGCTTGTGGAGATATATTAGGAACAAGAAGCTACTAGGAGCAAAGGGCATCGCTACTAGGAGCAAGGAAGCTACTAGTAGCTCCTGGCTTGCTACTAGGAACAAGAAGCTACTAGTAACAAGGGCATCCATACTATCAACTTCGGGCATTTCTACTAGTAGCATTCTTGCTACTAGGAACAAGAAGCTACTAGGGGCTCCTGGCCTTACTACTCGGAGCAAGGACGCTTCTAGGGGCTCCTGGCATCGCTACTAGTAGCATTCTTGCTACTAGGAACAAGATGGAACAAGAAGCAAAACGGTACTTGTTTCTAATAGCGCACCTTGTTACTACTAGTAAGGCACTTGTTACTAGTAGCGATGCACTTGTTCCTAGTAGCAAAATGGCAATCAAGTGGCTCAGCAAGTCAGGTGCAAGCTTGGCAGTTCCCATGTTGGTCCTCGACTCTGAACACAGAACCACTGGATCAGGCACAGAGCTCCAAAACACTCCAATGCGTTTAGTTAAGGGTCAAGAGGAAGAGCGCAAGTTCCCACGAGCTGCAAGCACTGATGGCACTGTTGTAGCCTCGACCCGTGTCAAAATCCTGCACAATGATCAATCAAGTGGCGCTCTGTTGTGCAATCTGAGCCCTGGGCTGATCACAGTTGCTCGAATCCTCCTTGAAACAAAGCAACTTGCACTATATAATATCTCCTTACAGTGAGCCTTTGGATGATAGCTTTAAGAGTTTTGAATCAGCATGCCCAGTGTGGATGCACTCTTCATCACAACATGCATGGAATTTGTATGAGCAGCGACAGGAAGCTCCTTTGCCACATTCTGCGAAGTAGCTCGAGAGCAGGCCTTCCACTGCAAGAACCTGGGTGGAAATGCAAGATTGGTTCAAAGGTAACAAGAGTTGTACTCCCATGATCCTTTCCTCTTTGGCATTTACTTCTTGTTTCTAATAGCTTCTTGTTACTACTAGTAAGGCACTTGTTACTAGAAGCGTGGCACTTGTTTCTAATAGCTTCTTGTTACTACTAGTAAGGCACTTGTTGTACTCCCATGATCCTTTCCTCTTTGGCATTTACTTTGAGTAGCTGTCTGAGCAAGCACCAGCACTGAGCTTGCCGCTTATTATGGTGTTGAAGGCAACCGTATTCGCCTGAACCTGCTTTGACGGCAAACATGCTTGATATATGCTGCTTTTGCTTCCTTGCTTCGCTTTGAAAAGGACAGCGGTCCAACTGTTTGTCTACAGGAAGAATGGTGCCTGTCGAATTTCCAGCTGCTCCAAGACCTCAAGGCTCCGTGGCCATGGTGCCTTGGCGCACACAGCACCAGCTGTGACCACCGTCGGCTGCAGGTTCACCTCAACCGTCGCAGAAAAGTGCAGCTGTTGCAAGGCCTTTTATGTAGTTGTTCCTACTCTCCATAATTCAGAAGTTTTGTTTCCCAAATAATCTAGGAACCTTTCAACCATGTGAAGAGTGCATCCGCATGTGTGTACCCTTGCAAATAAATTTCAGACCGGCTTACTAGCGTGGAATATACAGCAAGTAAGCTGCAAGTGTCTATATATGAACGGAGAATTTAGGCTCTTAAACTCTGTGACCCCAAGTCACTGTCCCAAAGGTTGTAGTAGAAGCTTAGGCCCACTTTTAGCTCCACTCCAAGCGTGAGCTCTGGTAGTGAAATGAACACAAAAGTAAACCACAAACGGCTGCAGTGAAACATACATCTATACAAGCTATGTCGTGTACATGTAACTGGTGCTACATCTGATCACGCCTCCCGAGTTTAACATCTCCCAGAAGTTAAGCGAGTCAGGATTAGCACTTCGGTGAATTAGCTCGTAGCCCTTCAGTACATCTTGGTCTTGAAGAAGTACCTACTCTAGCTCAAGCCGTTCACGCTTTCAAAGTCAGCTCATGCTCACCTTCCAAGTAGTGGAAGTTCATGCCTTTCATGGCTGTAGTCATTTTCTCTTCGGTGACAGCTTTCGTTAGCACATCGGCCAACATTCGGTCGGCGCCTTCTTTCTTGAGACGAAACTCTTTCTTTGCTGTGCGCTCTTGTACCCAATGGTATTGAGTGTCAACATGTTTAGCTCGTCCCAAACCTCGACGGTTTCCCATGGCGATGCCAGCGGAAGCGTCCATTGTCACCTCTTTGCTGGGAAACAATCCCCAGTCTCTTGCGGTTGATGCGATTCCAAGCATTTGACATGCTCCAGAAACAAGTCCGTAGTACTCGGATTCGCCACTGCTCAGGGAGACAACTCCTTGGCCTTTGCTGTATGTTGTGAGACAGCATTTGTTGGCCATGAGCACGCCTCCTGACACACTCTTTCGTGTCCTTATGCAACCTGCATGGTCGGCGTCTGACCACATGTTGAAGGGGTTGCAGGTGCTTTGGTTTGGAAACAACTGTGAAACTCTTGGTCGATACCTGACATATCGAGCCAATCGTTTCAGCATATTCCAGTGCCTCGATGTTGGGTTCTGTAGACCTTGTGCCAATGAGCGCGTTGCAGTTTGCAGATCAGGTCGATCCTGTGCCAAATACGCGGCTCTCATAGCAATAGATCTATACATCGTTGCATCTTCGGCACTCAGCGGAACTTCTTCATGTTGGAGTTCCTCTTGACTTGGCTTGGCCAAAGGTGTTTTGACCTTGCCTGGTTGACCAGTGCCTAACCACTTGATGATCAACTCTGCATGTCTTGGATCTGGTTCCCACCAAATGCCTTCATTTGACCAGGTGATGATGCGATTCAGCACTCTGATCTGTTGGCTTGCTTTTGGTGAACCTGGTGGACCGAGAATGCCTCGTTCCACAACTTGCCATTCTTTGGCTGCTGAAGTGTGAAACCATTTGATGTCATCAAAACTTCCAACTGTCGTGAAATCGTCTCCATGCACTTCTGTTCGAAGTTCTCTGGATGCATGGTAGTAGATGCATGGATTGGACTTGCCTTGAACAAATCCTAGCTTCTTCATAAACTCTGCAATGGTCAGCTCCCAATTCATGGGTGCGTCTCTGGTGCCGTAAAGGCTTCTGACCAATCTTCCTACCACATCTCCATCTTCTGGTTTCTTGCCTTCTGATGGAATTTCAACATAAAGTTCTCTTGTTGCTTTGGAGTAGAAATGAGCTCTCTTCACATCCAAAAATCCTAGGAAAGATTGCTTTGCTTTTCTTCTTTCGCCTTTCTCCAATGGAAGGCTGTCGCTGACTGCAATGGTTAGCAGTAGCTTCAAAGCTGCAAGGCTCGGCATAGCTGCGAAAAATTCGTCAAAACCTGAGCCTCTTTTGATCTCTTGCGCTACCAATCGACTTCTGTAGAGAGGATTGGTTTCATCTTGCTTGTTCACATCTACCCATCGAGTTCCAATGATTTTGGTTCCTTTTGGAACTTTGCTTCTTGGGATCTTTTCCCAAACTCCCATTGATTCGACAATGTCGATTTCATCTTTTCTGGCTTTCTCTACCTTCTCAGGTAGCAGCTCTTTTCCACTGATGTCATCATAGTACCACCAGTCTTTTGCCTCTTCTGCCATTTCTTCTGGCAGTGGGATCTTCTCTTCACACACTGGTTTCTCTGGGTCGATGCTAGATAGCACTCTCTCTCTGTCTTCTAGAATTAGGCTTTCTAAAGCCATCTCAATGCTCTGGATGTCTCTTGTTCTCTCGGCTTCATCTTCATGTTCGCCTTCTGCCTTTCTCTTCTTGTCTCTATCTACTCTGGCTTTTGCTGTGGGTGATCCTGCTGGTTCATGTTGTTCTTCGTGTTCTCTCTTTTCTCCATGTGGTTCAGGTTCGCGTGGTCTGCGAATACCTGACGCTGAAGCTGATGCTGTGCCTGGTGTTGGTGGTGCTGCTTCTGGTTCGTACCAAAGTTCTGTCACAATGTCCATCTTGTGTGGTAATGCTCCATTGAGTATCTCTGGTGGAAGGTCTGTTGTCATGACTCCACTCTCAATGATTGCATTGTTTGCATGGTTTCTTGTGACTCGGTGCCAGACGGTGGACCAATCAGGTCCTCCTGGCATGGTGGTTTGAAAACAGTAAGCTTCAACGTCAAGTCGTGCGAACACTCGACACGAATCGGGAACTCCCGATGGTCTTTTGCTTTCATATCCATGAAGGATTTGAGGTCTCTTGCCACTGACGGGTTGTGGCATGCCAGTGATTGCCTCTCCAACTCGGCTTTCATGTCTTGCTACTCTTGGGTTCTCTTCTTCTTCTCCTCTGATGCTCTATTCAAGTCTGTCTCGACACCTGTTGGTGTGATGGATGCCTGTAGATCTCTTGCCAATCTGTGTGGCATCACAAGCTGGGCAACCTGCAGTATACCCAAACTTTTCCAGGTCTTTCTTGGTGATGTAAAGTCTTCTCAGCTTTCTTTTCTTGTCATCAATTGCCGGTGGTTGAACTAAAGCTTCACCACTTGGGCTGGCAATGATTGGTTCCCTTGGGGCTGCAATCGCTGGTTCTTCGCGAATTGCTTGAGGATCCCAGGGAATCCCAGTGATCGATTTCAGCAACTCTGAATCATATCGATCTTCTTCTGGCTTTCTTCGAATGGACTGCACTGTGAAAACACCTGTGGAATTTCCTACTATCTTCTCTGTGGTGGTGTCTTTCACTCCTAGAAAAATTCCTTTGGTCCATTGGGCCTCGAACTTGTGGCCTCTCTTGAGGTATTCGATGGCCTCACCAAATGGTGGAATTGCTACTTTCCATTCACGTCCACGAAGTCGTGAATACGGAGTCTTTCCGTCTTGAAGTTCGGTGGATCGGAAAAACAAGTTGTAGACTGTGGATGCGTGTTCAACTAACCAAGTCAAAACAGGGGAATCGTCAGGAAGTTTCTCACCATAGTTCGACTCGATTGCGGCTCGAAGAGTCCTGGCTTGTCCTTCCAAGGTTTGAACTGCTCGTTCAATCTCTCCCTTGGATTCTTTGACTCCTTTCGGGCTCTTCTCGATGATCAGGGTTCCTTCAAACCCATTCTTTACTGCTTCAACAACGGATGTGAGAGCAGGTTCAGGATCATGTCGAATGATCAGTTTGGAGTATCCTAGTTTCTTGATGTCGTTCAAAAGTACTTTGGATCCATATGGACCTTTTGTCACACCTTTGTAGGGCAACACATGAGCAAAAAGATGCTTTGTCCATCGATCTCTGACAACAAGAATTGGTGCATGAGTCTTCTCGTCCAAAACTACATCATCAGTTCGTGAATTCATGAAACAGTAGTCTACAGTCACTACTGGGGTTGTCTCATCGGTGTGGTCTATTTTCCTGTGGGGGTTTGCCTTTGCTTTTCCCCTTACACAGGCTTCACACCAAGACCTAAAAGGGAAGTGTGACACAACATGCTCTTCAAACTCTTTTCTCGTCGGGCGAGTGGGAGCATGGATTCGGAGCTCAGGCGGCACTTCGTCGCCTTGCTCGGCCTCTTCGGCCTGCTCCACCGGGCTTACCCATTGCGGTGCCGGACGAAAGGGTGGAATGCAAGCGGCACAGAACAGACGCCGTTGCTGAACGTGATCGGAATCTTAGTTCCGTCTCGGGAGATCTGCCCACCAGATCCGTGCATCTGAATGCACCAGCCCTTGCTCATAAGGGCCCCCGCGGAGAGCAGCGGTTTTGCAACCGCCATCACCCGGAAACAGCAACGTCCATTGAGGGAGTTCTGGCCGATGCCGATGGTCACCATGGCATCGATCTTGCCAAGGTCCTTGACCACTTCGCCTGAGGCAGTCTTGTAGACTTTGCAGGCGCCTTCAGGCTGGATAGGCTTGTAGCCCAATGCGGTGGCCAGTTCAACAGGGATGCAGGAGGTCGCGGCTCCTGAATCCAAGGTCACCTGATGAGCCATTGGCGTCTCCATGGATGCCAGCTCCAAACTCTTGAGAGCTAGTGGATCGTCATCGCCTTCATCAGGCTCGCTTGAGGGAGTGGGATATCGTTTGCCCTTTCCCTTCTTGGCCTCACGGGCAGCATCCTGAGTGGCCACGTTGACAGCTCGGGTCAACTGCACCTTCCTCTGCTTGCCCTTTCCTTGGCCTTTCTCGGAGGCAGCCGGAGCCGAAGCGGCTCGGCTTTTGCCCGGGGATCGTGACCGGGACTTCAGCCGAAGCGTCTGCCTTGGCGCTTCGCTGGATTCCTCTGGCTTGGATCCTGGTCCACGGAATCGCTCCTGGTGCTCTTCAGTCGAGCTCTTGAACCAGGCCATGCGTTCCTCCTTGGTCTTGCCTTTCTTCTCAGGAGGTGGAGGTGTCTTGGCGACGCGCCTTTGCTTTGGCGTCTTTGGGCCAACCTCATCTTCCTCCTCCTGCTCTTCCATCATCTTCTGCATATGGGCAGTCATGTAGAAAGGTGGTCCTTTCTTGACGGTCTCAAGCTTTGGATCTTCCATCTTCAAATGCTTTGCCACATCTTCGGGCTTCAGATCCGTGTTGGCATCTTTCACGTGCTTTGGCGCATCTTTTGAAGTTGGGCTGCCTTGCTGTCCCTTGGCAGTCTTGATGCGCTTTCCCATCTCTTTCTGCTTGATCGTCCATTCCTTTGCCCACTGGTTGAGGACTTTTGGCGGGCAACAATTCAAAGCCATATGATGGTTCCATAGGCCGGTGTCATTGTCACACCTCAGGGCCTTGTTGCACGCACGGCAGACCATGTTCTTGCTGCCATCTCTGTTCTTGTGGGTGCATTTGGCTACCCATTCATCATAGCTGAGGATGCGCTCTTGGAACATATGGTCGAGCCATGGCACGGTATCTTTCTCCTTTTCTTCTTCTTGACCATCTGACTCCTCGTCAGCTGGCTCAGTGCCATTCTCATCCTCCTCAACTTCATCTTCAAATTCTTCTTCTTCTTCAAGTCCCTCAATCTCAGTCACATCAAGGGGATTGATGTTCTCCATGACTGGAGCTGCGAAGGATGGTGCGCTTGTTGCTCCTTCGCCTTGGCTCTCGACGCGCTTCATCACAACATAGTCCTCTGGGTTGAACCCAGCTGCAGTGAGCGCCTTGTCGATGACACTGCGGGCTGGATGGCTAGTAGCCGTCCATGTCTGGCTTTCCCGCTTCATCTCTGCCAACTCTTGAGTGGAGAGATCCTCGATCTTGGGCTCCTTCTCTTTTGGCTTCTCAGGCTTCTTTGCCTGTCCTGGCTTCTTGTAGCCACGATGCCTCTGGGCCTTTTCTCGACCTCGAGGCTGAGGGGCTTCATCAAACTTTCCCTCATCATCTTCATCATCCCAAGCTTGAAGTCGACCAGTACCCTTGGCACGAGCGATCTCATAGTAATCGAGCTCCTCAGGGTAATTGGCCTCATATTCGCGCCAGGATTCGAAACGATCCTGGGCCTTCTCAACGCGATGTTGCTCGGCGCGCTGACGGCTCTTCTCTTTCTTCTTGGCCAATCTTGGATCCATACCTGATGCCAAATCAGCTGAGAGCCTTGGCGACTCCGCCGGAACCGAAGCGGCTCGGCGAGGAGTTGGCCTCTTCAGCAAGATCTTGGCTTCTCTCTCCTTTTCTTCATACTGTTCTTTCAGCCTCTTCATCTCGGCCTGTTGTTCCAAGATGGCGTCATTGGCTGCTTTGCCTTTGGCTTCGGCCTCTTCGATGGCCTTCTGGATTGTCTCAGACTTCTTCTCATACAGCTCGCGATTGGACTGCATGGTCTCTTGGATTGCTTGGTTCATGACTGCAATCCCAGCAGCTGCAATTCCAGGACGACCTTTTCCAGCTCCTGGCTTCTTTGGCATAGCCTTGACTTCAGTCTCAGCTTTTGCCTTGGCTGCTCCACGAGAAATTGCGGCAGGTCGATGGCAAAGAGGGTGGCGATGTCAGCGGAATACTCAGGCTCGGGTTGATGCTCTTGAGCCATAGAGGTTTCAGATTCCTCAACTGAAGCTACCTTCTTACTCTTACTCTTGCCTTTACCTTTAGAGTCTTTGCCTTTGCCACCTTTGCCTTTACCCTTGGAGTTTTGGTTGTACCAACTACTCTTGTTCCAATCATTCTTATACCAATCGTTCTTGTTCCATGAGTTGTTCCATGACGAGGGATTGGACCACGAAGAACCTTTTCCCTTCTGTTTACCTTTGTCGCTTCCCTTGCCTCCATCTTGACTCTTTCCTTTTCCTTTGCCGCCTTTTGAGCCACCTTTGCCTTTTCCTTTGGCTTTGGCCAGACTTGCAAGTGAAGCTTGCATCTGGCTGGCAGCTGCGGCTAGTGCGTCAACATCCATTGGTGCTGATCCAGTCTTTGCTTCTTTTCGGCTCTCGATGTTCTCGAGGTAGGCCAAAATCTCTGACTTCATGATGGCATAGTCAGTGAGTCTCGAACTCTGGAGATCAAGGTGATCTTGAAGTTTGGCTGGACACATCTGCTGAAGACAACTTCTTGCGATGTCATCATCAAGAGCTTTCTTCTTCCGCTCTTCATACTTTCGCCTGATGTTTTCCCAGGCTTCTATGCTCTCTCTGAGCTTGTCCAATGCACACTGTTGTGGGTGCAGGACCTTCTTCAGCAAAGCTGAGTTTGCTTGTGGGTTCTGTGGATCATACTTGGTGATCAATCGTCTCAATGCCTCTAGGCCAAAGTGCTGACCTCTGGAGGTATTCTTGACAATCTCGAGGGCTTCCCCCTCACATAGTGAGATCAGAGCCTGTCGGGCCTGAGCTGAAACAAGCTCGGCTCCTTCAGGATAATCATCTTCCAGAGATGTCTCATTGATCTCTGTGTCTTGATGCTCTTCGAGGAGCTGAATGCACTTTCCTGCATTCTTGTGACTTGTCTCAATCCAAGTCTTGAACTTGAAGTACCATGAATCCCAGGTACCTGTGTGTCCACTGAACTTGTCAGGCTTTGGAATGCCTTTCAACTCGGATCTGTCTCTTACTTCCACGCTAGTGGCTATGTTCCTTGTGATTGCCGTTTGTTGTGTATATGCTTCTGCCATTGCTCGTTGCAATTGGCTCTGCCCCTGTGCTAGGGCTTGCATCATCTGTGCAAATTGTTGTGCCATGTCTGTGGCTTGTGGTGCCTGTGCTCCTGGCTGTTGCGCCATGTTGACTTGCTAGCCAGGGATTGAAGCAATCCGGCTTTCCTGCAAGTGATGCTTGTTTTGTGGATCTCTGGTGCCAGAGCCGATGCGGCTCGGCGACCTTCGATTCGCAGACGGTAGCCGGGTCTTAGAACCGCGGCTCCGCTACCATGAACGGAGAATTTAGGCTCTTAAACTCTGTGACCCCAAGTCACTGTCCCAAAGGTTGTAGTAGAAGCTTAGGCCCACTTTTAGCTCCACTCCAAGCGTGAGCTCTGGTAGTGAAATGAACACAAAAGTAAACCACAAACGGCTGCAGTGAAACGTACATCTATACAAGCTATGTCGTGTACATGTAACTGGTGCTACATCTGATCAATATATGTGATACAGTAATACATATATAATATATATATATATACACACAATAAGCTACTAGTAACAAAGGGCATCGCTACTAGGAGCAATGATGCTACTCGTAGCTCCACTCAAAGGATGTGGCTTGGCTGGAATGAGAATGGTCCTTACGCCATGAAAGTACACAGGAGGCCGATGGAAAAATTGACATTGGCACGCCAATGAACCCAACGATGTACCCAAAACTCCAACAAGAAGGTCCAAGCCTGCATGAGGCTCGCAAGAAGATCTTCGCCCCACTGCCACTGGCTTGCCTGCGAAGCTCCACCGCACAGCTTTGCGCTCGAAGCTTGAAGTTGAGACTTGGTCTAGTTCAACACTGTAGCTAGAACCTCAGGAAAGAGACCAGCAAGGACTTCCATACTTTGCACCTGTTGCAAGGCACTGATGGCGGTGTTGTAGCTTATCACTGAAGATGAAGGTGCTCTGCCAGCTCTGCCGGCTCTGCCCCTGCAAACAAAGCTTGGGAGGCAAAGCACACCGAGGGCACAAGAAACGAAGTTCCCACAACTCCAGTGAAGGAAGCGTTGGGCAAGGGAACTTGGAAGCTCGTTGCTTCATTGCAGTCCTTCTTGTTTGAATCAATGGAGAGAAGGACAAAGGCTTTAAAGGGAAGGAGGAAAATCTGATGTCTATGTTGCCAGGGGAGCCCAACACTCCGAGTACTAAGGCATTCTTCTTGAGGGAAAGCATTCGCTCCTTGAGACAAGCCTAGGCACAAGGGGTAGTTCACTCTAGGTGTCACTTGATATGGACTCCAACATGCGGTCAGTCTGATCAATGTGCAGTGCGGACAAACACAGAATATACACCTTCACAAATACTAGTACCAGAACTTTGTTGATGCATCAATTCCTGTTTGCCTTGTCATTTTGCTCATCTCTTGATGCTTTCTGATCGTCATTCTTTGGTATACTTCACCCACTCCGCCTCCGACTCCTTCGAGGCTGGTGCAGCTGATCCAGCGCCACCAGCGCCAGCACCCAACAGCTCACACGTTCGCAAGCCGTTATTGCCGTGTTGCACCTCAGCAAAGCTACCACGAAACAAAGCATGTCAAACATGCTTTCTGTCTTGGTTTTCCTGAGCAAGAACGCTACTAGGGGCTCCTGGCATCGCTACTATGAGCAAAGACGCTACTA